TGTGCCAATGAGATTGGCCTACAAAAAAAAAAAAAGTAAAAATCCCAAAGTTGAAAGTTTTTACAAAATGGAGAAAGGTAGGAAAGAAAAATACCTTTAAAATGGCATGCACTATGTCATTCATAAGGGTTAGGTTGCTATGTCTTTCAAGCTTTGATTTTTCGATGGGGCCAATTAAAGGCTCGAGCCAAACATCTGCTTGCCCAGACTTTCTTAAAAGGCTGCTATCAGCTGGGACTTCAATAGTCACGCTCCTCATAGCAGCACTTCTACTTGATGAACCCACCTCTGTATGATGAACAATAGGTGGGGGAGTTGATAAAGAAGGAGCAGAGGAAGAAGTCAAAATAGTTGAAGAAGGCATGGAAACAGCTGGGGCAGGCAAGGAAGCAATATCAGGCACGGGGGTTGAAAAAGAAGATAAGGGCACTTCATCCAAAACATGCCCTAAGTCTCCACTGCCAAAACCACTAGAAAAAAGCTGGTCAATAGATTCTTGATTGTCATGAGGAGTATCATCATCATCATCGGGGATAATCACCGGAGCAACACCAGGTTCTGAAAGAGAAGGATGAGGCGAGGCGAAGCTTCACCATCGGAAGTAACACGTCTTCTAATACGTGGCCTCATCACCAGAGAACCTCCTTCATCCTCTTCAGAATCTTCTTTCTCAGTCACTTTTTTTTTTAAGAACCCAAGAATATGTCTTGGGCTGAAGAGGAACGAGTACTTAAAGTGTCACGAGAAGCTATGATCGCCTCTGCGGTGACTCCACGAATAGCAAATCCTGATAAAAAGAAGGGCAGAAGTTAGAACAAAGAAAATATTTATATACAAACAAGGTAAAAAAAAAACTCTTACCATGAGTTTTTACTTTCCAACCGTAACGGTTGGAAAGGTTTTTCCACGACCTACCCTTCATTGGAGCGGCCTTCAACAATTTTCCTACCCAACCACGGAAGTTGGGCACGGTCTCCACAACACCCATGGTTGCTGAGAAAAGAAAAATAAGCGACATTAGAAAAGTTGATAAAGCCTGAAAGAAATAGGCACGAGGAAGATTTAACACTTACGTGCAAAGTTCCACTTCTCAGGGAAGGGAACATTATTTTCACCCATCAAACCAGAAGTGGGGGCAGCAACAAACCGAGCATACCAGCCACGGTCTTTATCGTCCTCGGGGCTCACTAAAACTCTCTTGCTCCTGGCTGCTAGGGTAAACACGACGTTGCGGAAAAGCCTAGGGGAATAAAGATGAATGAGGTGGGAAAAAGTAAATTCAACATCCGCCAGGTTAGTGAGGTGCCTCAAGCAGGCGACAGCCCTCCAAACAAGTGGACCAATTGACCCAAGCTAACATTAAAAAAGCGACAAAAATCTAGGATAACCGGGTCAATGGCAGGTTTAAACCCCAGAGTGAAGGGATACGTATAAACAAAAGAAAATCCAGTAATGTAAGAGGTGATCCTCTGATTTGGATTAGGAATGATAATAGGGAAATCTTCACTCCAATGACAATCTCTACGAACTATGGGGATTAAAGGTTCAGTAATTTGAGAAGGATAAGTATCAACTCGATCTAAAGAGGCGACTTGAGTTCTGAGAGATTCCCTATCATGATAAAAAGATAGGTTCATTGGAACTATCTCTTCTACTAAAGGTTCGCGTAAGGGCTCAGAGGATTCTTTATTTCTGGAAGAAAACCTTTGAGAATGGGAACCTCTAGTTCTAGAAGAAGGGCCAGAACTAGAAGAAGGTGTGAGTGAACTACCACCACGAAAAGATCCTAAACTGCGGAGTCTACCACCACCTCCTCTTCTATGTCTAACGGGAGCATTGGGAAAGCTATCTAAAATAGGAGTTCTCCTAGGGTTAGGGTTTGGAGAAGCCATGACGAAGAAGATTGAAGTGAAGAAGAAGTGAATAAAAGATTTGAAGTATTAAAGTGTTCAATACGCTTTAAGTGGTAAAAGACAAGGATAGAAATTATATTTATACTAGTGAACAACCATCAGAAGGAAAGAATACAGTGATGGAAAGTCCATAATAATGATAACTGACACTTCGTGAACAGGAAAGCCGAAAAGAAAGCCTAAGAAAGTGCTGCACAATTGTAGGACCAATAAGAAGATGACATGTGTCCGGCGCATTAAATGGAAGTAATAAGTGAGGCGTCAACTCTGTCAGGGCATTAATGGTGACAAAAATTCTCCTTTAATGAAATTCACTTCCCATATATTCAAACTGATGAATAAATGGAAAGTGGGGGGACTATCTGTATTGGGAAAATTTTATTCATATTTATAAAGGTGACGTGTCCAGACACATGGATTGGTCAAAAGGTCAAAGAATCATGATTAGTCACGAGATAGGGGTTACAACAAATACGAGCAAAAAGAGATGAAGAGGCACGGGACATCGGTTAAGAAGTAATTCAACGCTCGTACCTATTCAAGACAATTTAAAACTCAAAGATCGTGAAGAATCAAAGGAATGAATCTGACAACAAAAAAGAGCCCAGATACAGCATTTAATGAGTACTAAATATTGGAAACGTTAGAGAATATGTACTTAATGTATATGATTGCATAACGTAACATTTAAGGTCATTAATTGCCCATAATAGCTTTATTATGACAAAGGTAAGGCTCGTATCCCCAAAATAGCTATAAAAGGGGAAGGAACAAACAATTGTAAGGACAACGAAACATTATTGGAATATACTTTGATTTACTTGCTTTTTGATCATATTATTCACAAATCTCTTTCTCTATATACTTTTCTGATTATCAGTAACCCGTATTCTTCTAAATTCTAGCTTTGACTAAAAATCTAATTTTTGGTTAAACAATTGCATGGAAGCTTCAAGGTGGAATTTGAAAAGATTAAAATGTTATTTATCTATTCCCTCCTTTTTATGTGTGCCTCCTTTTTATGTGTGCCTTTTCTCCTATTTTGTATTAATACAATTATTAATCAATATTACTTTTCTAATCATAATTCTTAATTAAAAACTACGTGCTCTGGCCTTTTTGCTATTGTAAAGCCTAAGTGCTAATTATTACTACTTCGACTTCTCATATTTCATTACAATGAGTATGCAATAAAAATAATCCTTCAAGTTTCCAACGACACATCGAAATTAGATTTTTGTGGTGGAGTTCTTAATTAGTACTACTCGAACTTTCCCATTCTAAAGCCCAAAAGTATCCACTGTTGCTATTCCAGCTTTTCATATTCCTTATTAATGCAATAAGAAAAGTGTTTTGAGTTTCCAAAAACAGGTAACAAAGTGGAGTAGTAATTTTTTGTGGTGGAATAAATTCCATAATATGGATGAAGACGTTTTAGTAATTTTTCAGTGAAAGAGTAGGTAACATTTTCTCTTGCTATTTAATTTTTATTCATTGTGATTTAGTTTATTTTTGAATTTTTAGAAAAAGAAGAAATTTAATTTAAAAGGAAATATTTTAAGTATATGTTATTTATCAAGAATTAATTACTTCTAAGATTGTATGTTAAAATATTTTATTGTCTAACATCAATGTGAACTGTTCTAATTCTAATGAAAAAATAATACTTACCATTTGTTATTTAATCAATTCAAAGAATTCAATTTTTGTATGCATATATACGAAACTTTCCATCTCTTCTGTTTTGACTAAATACACAAAAAAAAGTAGTCATTCTATAAATTTATTTAAGTTTTTCAAAATCGCGCGAAGCGCGGACAGAATCCCTAATATATAATAAATGAATAAGGGCAATAGCACAAAATTAACACTATAACAGTCGTTTAGTTTGACAACTACGAGAACAACAATAATAATAACTGATAATGGTTACTTTTAAACCTTGTTGCTCATGAGTTGATAGAAGTTTGATGATAAAATCAGTCGATCGATTTGTTCAAATTGTTATAATAATTTTTTTAAAGAAAAGAAATGAAATTATTCTATAACAGAAACCCCCATCCCCTGACCGTAAGTAAAAATATTCTTTACTGTATGACTTTTGCCTCGTCTTGCGCAGAGGATTATTAAGGATTATGCAAATTGTTAACTTTCTTCTTTAGCTTTATTTTTCTTTTTTCTTAATTCTGTTTTCTGTTGCAAATTAGATGAGTCTGATCAAACAACTATTACAATTTGCCTCAATTCTCAATAGTGGTTAACTGGTTATCACCTTATCCTTTGGCCTTTCCAATGAATTCCCTAATCTTTATCCTTATATAGTACTTAACTTAATCACTTAAAGAATGCAAGAGAATAGAATACGGGCCGTGCCGCATCCTCCCCAGAGGTAAATATAACAATACTATAAAGCTTAATGACTTAGGATAACTTGATGTAAAAATAGCACGGGCTAGCCAATTTTCGGACTGGTCATTGAAAAATAGCCAGCGTTTGCAAAATCATTGAAATATAGCTATTATTTGCTGTAACACGAAAAGTTCCAGCATAATATACTGGAGATCGATACACCTGTGTATAGACTTCTAGCATATTATGCTGCACCAGCATAATATACTGGAGTTCCAGCATAAGTATACTGGAACTCCAGTACATACTGGAGTTCCAGCATATACTGGAGTTCCAATATACTTATGCTAAAACTCCAGCATATTATACTGAAATATTTTCCAGATTTTGAAAAGTGTTTCTATTCAGTTTTATCTTTACATGAAAAGTGGTTAAATTTCAATTACTTTTAAAACTGTGGCTATTTTTGAATAACCACTTATAAATCTGGTTGTTTTTGAATTTCTCTCTGATGTAAGGTCACTAAACATAAGGAATGTGTTTATAAATCTACATTTAGCCGTTTGATTAGAATAGAAAATACTTTTGGCATGTCCAGAAATTTACATGTTTTGTACATGAAAAGGTTTTCCATACTGGAATAACAGTAAATTCTAGGCTGATCTTACCCAGCTGCCTAGGAAACATTTTTCAAGTATAGAGAAGAACAATACCAGCATCGAAAACAAGCCTGGTGCACAGGAAAAACAAAACGAAGCTGCTGCATTTAGATAGCATAAAAGTGACTTAATTAGAGAGTTAAGAGTATAATACAGAACAACTGCTACATGAGTGGAAAGAAAAAAAATCATAGCTGCACATATTTTGTTTACCCACTCAGTTGTGCACAGTTTCGTGTCCAACTCAAAAATTAGGGTGGGAAGCCAAAAGGAAATTAAAAAGTATATGACAGTGTTGGATGTAAAAACTTAGACCTCCTGAATCTGCAGACCTAAGACTCCTTGACAGGCATTGGTTAATAAAACAGAAATACCGTGCAGAACAACAGAACTTCTGGCTGGTCAGGAGGATTTGCTAACAGAGGAAACTGTACCGAATGCTATGAACACACTCTGACCCTTTGTGATTCTCTCTCTTCTAATTCAACCCCTGATGTCATGCCATCCCTCTCTGCTAAACATCTTTTATATGGTACAAATCCCTTACTGTTGTTCCATTTGTCGCTCTTGGTTGTATATTTTGACTCAACAGTCTCAGAACTCCTGTTTCCATCGTCAACTTCACTAGCTGAGCCAGTGCTTGAACCGGTTGATGATCCCTCTCTTTGAGCTTCTTCATTTTTCGGTCGCTGACAAGGAGTAGCAGTCTCTGCAGCTGTTTGGCTGCACGATGAGATATACCGATATACAAGATCTTGGTACCAAGACCACCAAGGAAGTGTAGTAGGGAAGGCAGCAACACCCTCTGGATTGTTTTCAAGCATATCTTGCGATAACCAACAAGCTGATGGAATCATATTGCCAGGGACCACAGGAAGAATAAACTGTGAATTTGCTTGGAATCCATGAATCACATTGCCATAGTTGGCCCCGATTTCGTCTTCTGTGGTTTTAGATGGCAATGAGTTGCAGCTACCTGCTGGAGATTGCAAAGCAAGTTTGGTGGCATCTGGTACAAGAACCATCTGCCCGAACAGCTTGATATTTGCCAAAGGTGCCTCAACAGCTACCTTTTCGCCAGGACATGAAGTCTCCCTAGGAACGAAATCACATTCCTGCAAAGGCATATAGTACAGATAACGGGTAACTGTACATTCAAAATATCATTGCAAGACAGATTTATCAACAAACTTTAAGAGGAATTATACCATGCCAGAATTGAAAATTGAGCTGGAACTAGCAGCCACTGGTTTTGATGCAACAGGAATTTCCTTTACTATATTGGACTTTGACGTCATACTTTCATCATCATTCTGTCCAGAAATTATATTTGCAGTGTGTGCATCCGTAGTACAAGAGCGTGGCGAAAAGCGAGAGCTTTGCTGCTCAGCGACTGGATATTCAGAAACGTCTGAACCAATTTCTGACAATACTGAATCTGGAGAACAACTACCTCTTCTCGATGCATTTGGAGAAGGAGACCTTTCAGGCTGAGCTGAAACTGACTTGTTAGTTACAGGGGAATCGGCCATCTTACGAGGGTATGGATGGAGAGGTTTCTTCTTTGGCCGAGGAGGAGGTATATCAATTGCATTTAGGGATTCATCACCATCAGTACCTGAATCCCGAGCAACCTAAAATGGAGATTAAAACTTCAATGACTGTAGCTGTTGATAACCCGCGCAGAGACAGGATCGTGAATCAATGAGCAAACTTCGTAATAATTCATCGAAATCTAGGGGCACCAACCTTGGCAAAAAATTTCTGTGCATGACTACGAATCTGAATTGCAGTCTTGGTGCCAACATGTTCTGCAAGATTAAAGAGATATGTTAGAAACTAATATCTAGATTGAACCACATAAACGGGAAAAAAGAGAAGACTCGGAAGAAGGATAAACCTTTTACCAGCAATGAACAACCTTATACCACACTCACCTTCTATTTGGCGCCAAGCACGGCCATACAGCTTTAAGGCTTCAACAAATCTCTGGTGTTCTTCCTCTGTCCATTTCTCTCTTTGTTTGGTAATGGTATAAGGCTTCCTAACCTGTTGCATATAGGAAAATAAGAATCAAATTAAGCGCAGATCAAGCCTATGTCAAATGAAATAAAGGGGAAAAAAAACTTGGAATACATTCATAGGAGGGATAATGACCTTTAGTGTAATTTCATTGGCAAGACATGTTAAGGCCTTTCCCTGAGTAGCCACAGTTTCCAACTTTGAGCTAATCATAGATGAGCCACCACGCCGAGCCCCCTCATCTTGATTCTATGGTATTTCAAAGAAAGCATACTTCATAAGAATTGAATCTTCCAAGTAATTTCAATTAAAAAGAAATAAAAAGCCACAAAGGAAACCCTTCCACACCCACCCAACCTGCGCTCCACCCCTTTTTGCAGCAGACAGACTTCTAGATGAAGTTGCTCTCATAGAATATGATTCCAACTAGCATCCACTATGCGTCAGGGGTGGATGTAGAGTAGCAGAGTCGGGTTCATCTGAACCCGGTACTGTCGACGTGAAGCTTAAATTTATGCATAGAAGTTCACAAAATTTTGCCACAAATGGTAGTTATGAACCCATAAGTTTACAGATACAACGGGTTCAATGCTAAGAACCATAAAAGGTTGAATCAATAGAGTTTAAATCCCGGATCCGCCTCTGGCTATGGTGCTAACAATCTACATTTTCACCCCCATTTCTATCAGCCATACGAATTTGCACAACTATGGATCTAACTTAATCTCCTACATATAGTTAATATTCTTTGAACACCAGCCAAAGAGATGAAAGATTAACTACTACTACCAGGCCTCAATTCTAAACTAGCTAGGTTAGAAAGCATCATATGACCCAACGATAAAAACCGTATAATGGCAGCAATTTACAACCCATCATCAAACAACATAATACAGCCTTTATCAGCATTAACTCAATTACATATCCAACGTCAATGTAGAGCCATTTACAGCCAGATCAAAACCCAAGAACAGAAATCCGGACATCACATTAAATATGTGAATAATGAAAGTATTGTGTCCTCTTTCTGAGTAAAGAAAGTTTAATTTATAGTGCAACATTTAAATTGTCTAGACTCCCTACAAATTAAGCAGTTTTCTAGGATAATTGTCCAATCTACAACTTTCCCTGGCCAGAAAATTGGCCTTTTTGGCATGCTAATGGAATCATTACTGTAATAATCAACTTTCCAATGCCATCTAACTTTAACTTACAGTTCTAGAAACATAATAAGCGCCACTTAAAGCAATAGTCAACCAAAAGAAGCATCCACTTAGTAGTAAAAGAACATCATTTACTCATAATAACAAGTTTAGCTTCACATACCGTATCAGATAAACACTTAAATCTAACAAATAAGAAAGGAAATAATTAAAACTCCATTTACTTTATATATACAAAAAACAAAGCCCATATAGTAAGAGAACATCAAAATTAAGAAATACTCATATTCTAAAAATGAATATTAAGAATAAAGAGAAATAATTAATACATACCAGTGCCTCAGCAACCATAGCTGCAAGAATCTCAAAAAATCAAAGCTAGATTGGTCAAAAAAGAAGAAAAAGGTGGGTGTTTTAGCTTCACTTCTCTTGTTACCAAAAAAAAAACTTTGAGAAGTGAAAAAAGCCAAAAGAAAATATACAGAGAAGAAGATCTCAGAATAGAAAAAAATGGTGAAATATACACAGTAGTGTAAACAGGGAAGAATATAAACTGAATGAAGGGAAAATATAAGAACAGAAACAGAGAATGAAAGGGCAGAAATCTATAGGGTGGTGGGGTTTTTGGAGGGGGGGGATACCACGTAGGATAGGATTTTAGATTTTTTAATAAATAAAAATAGGTAGAATCGAAAACTCGAGAAGGTTGTAGAGTTGGAAGGAAGGATCTTGACATCTTGTGGCTGAGAATGGAAGCTTAAGACATGACACGTGTCGATATCAGGCTGTATCCCAATCTTTTTCTGAAGCTACTGCTTATTTGGGCTGGGCCCATTTATGGGACCAACCATATCTCTATCTCTCTCATGAGCAAATGACACCAACAAAGTCCAAACTGTGATTGATATATGTGGAAGATATTGAACCAACCAATCATACACCTACAATAGGGAAAGAGCATACATATTTTAATAAAATATATCTAAAAGATATTATCTTATATCCATCACTTATATTTTTTGGGTAAACGTTCTTTCATTAATTTTCACCGAATGACTTTTGTGGTTCTGATTCCTCCTCTCCCTTTTTGGGTGGCTGTTTTTGATTCTCGAAGAATTAACCCATAATTCATGTATACTATAACACACACATTATATAACAATTGTTTGATTCTTTGATTTTGGGCTGCGGTGATGTTTAAAATATATTCATAATTTATAATATATTTAAGGATTAGCCAATTCGCTTAAATTTTAGAAAACAACGTCCTGAAGTTTAAATTTCAGTGTTCAAACTTTATTATATCATGTCCTAAAGTTCGAAAATTATGTCGAGAAATTCGAATCTTATGTCTTGAATTTTAAATTAGCTGTTCTGAGATTCGGACACTTAGTCCAAAATTTTAAATAAATAGTTCAGAAATTCAGGACACTTAGTCATGAATTTCAAATTAGCAGCTTAATAATTAAGACACTAAGTCCTGGAGTTCAAATTAGCAGCTCAAAAATTCAGGATACTTAGTTCTGGAGTTTGGGGGAATTGACTCATCTTTAAATGCATTATAAATTATGGATATATTTTAAATAACAAGCTTAAGTGTTATTGGTGCATGATAAGTGCGAATTTTAACCACTTATTCGCACCTTCTTGCTTTAGTTTTAGTCTGAAAGTGTCGATTTCTGTTTCCAAAACTAATGAAATTGTGCAAATTGCAAGAATGTCGGAGAATTGGACTTTAATGAAGAAATCTAACTCAAAAAGGAGTGTTTCGGCTCATAAGGCAAGAAGGAGCGCATCAGGCCAAAAGTGCGGTTCGCATAAGTAATTCAGCGGCCGTAGAAGAAAGCGCGGACCACAAAATTATCTCTGTAGCCGCAGATCTGGTGTTGAAGCTCAGATGATGATTGAAGCAAAATGCGGACCGCACACAATTTGTGCGGCCGCAAAACATGGTCGCACTGACAAGTATTCAAAAAGTTCAGAGAGTGTGCAAAATGACCAAGTATGAAGCCTTTCCAAAAGTGCGGTTGTAGTAGCTGAAGTGCAGCCACAGACCAAATTATGCGGCTGCAGAATTCCTCAACCTGCAGAACCAAGGAAAGTGCGGACAGCACGTGGAATTGTACGGCCACAGAACCTCCCGAAAGGCACCCCTTCTCAACCATCCGCTGGGCCTTTAGAAATGAAATAACTCTGCTAGGAGCATAATTTAAGGTACCTCTCCACTCTAACCATGGTAATCCTAGCATAGCCAATGTCACGGTCTTGGCGTGACATTCAAAAATAACATAATGGGGCGACAACCAGTCCATGCCCAAAATAATATCAAAGTCTACCATACTGAGCAATAATAAATCGGCTTTGGTAAACACGATCGATACACACGGTCAACAACAATAGAATCCCCCACAGGTGTAGACACAAAAACAGGGGAACTCAAAGAATCCCGAAGTACGCCCAAATATAGAGCAAAATAACATGACACATAGGAATAAGTGGAGCCTGGATCAAATAAGACTGATGCATCTCTATGATAGATCGGAACAATACCTGTGATGACAGAGTCGGATGCAACCGCCTCCGTTCTAGCAAGAAGAGCATAATATCTGGCTTGGCCTCCCCCTCTAGGGAGACCTCTACCTGCTCGACCCCCACCTCTAGCTGGCTGTGCAGGTGGGGTGGTAACTGGTGCGGCAACCATGGATTGAGAAACTTGAGGACCCGGTAGAATATGCGAAGCCTAGGTAGTCGGTGAAGGTGCACCCTTCCCGAGTCTGGGGCAATCCCTCACCACGTGACGAGTGTTACCACACTCAAAACAAGCTCTCGAAGGACGTGGCTGCTATGACTGGCTCGGGCCTGATCGGCTAGACTGACCACTAAAAACACCCCGTGTAGGAGGTGTGCTAGACCCTGGCGGTGCATATAGGGAGCCTGGGGCATAGGAGTAGTCGGAGCACCGCTGGTAGTTGGAAGTGCTGAATAAACAAGGCAATTCACATAGCCCCTACCATGACGAGCTGCAGTTGGGGCACGAGTACCACTATAAGTGCCAGACTCAGATACCTCTTGGCCTCTTTCTCCCGAATCAGCATACCTTCCAACCTCCTAGCAATCCCCACTACTTGCTGGTATGCAATGTCCATCTCCAACTCTTGGGCCATACTAAATCTGATGCTGGGGTTGAGCCCCTTGATAAATCGACGGACCCGCTCTCTAACAGTAGCAACCAAGGCTGGTATATGCCTAGCAAAATCACTGAACCGAACCACATACTCTGACACGGTCATAGAACCCTAGCGCAACTGCTCAAACTCTGCGCGCCATGCATCTCTGAGACTCTGTGGAACATACTCCCTCAAGAACATATCCGAGAACTGAGTCCAAATCAGTGAATCTGCTTCTGCCGGACTACCCAACTCATAAGCACGCCACCACTGATAGGCCACTCCTCTAAGCTGGAAAGCAGTGAAAGAAACCCCACTAGACTCTGCTACACCCATAGTACGGAGGATACGGTGGAACTTCTCAAGAAAAACCTGGGCATCCTTTAACGCTAAGCCACTAAAAGTAGGAGGGTGGTACTTCTTGTACCTCTCGAGCCTGTGCTGATCCCCCTCAGAAATTGCTACCCTAACCTCGAGCTGAACTGGAGCTACCAGCTGCATCGGTATGACCTCTGGAACCTGGTCGACCTAGACCCGCTGCTCTGGGGTATGGGCGGCGCAAGTGGGATTAACCCTGCCTGAGCTAAAGTGCTGAACATACTCAGAAACCGGGCGAGAGTCTCTTGAAGGGCTGGTGCAGTAACAGGCATCTCAGGTGCCTGCCCTCCAACTGGAGCTACTAGTGGCTCCTCTATAGAAGCTTGTGCGAGTGCTCTGGCTGCACCACGAGGACGTGTTGGCCTCTACCCCGGCCCCAGCCTCTCGCGGCTCTAGCAGGGGGCGCGGGTGTCTGGTCATCTGATCCGGTTGTACATGTCCTCACCATCTTGAGAGAATAGAAAGATTGCACGACAAGGAATCAAAGAAGTGAAACTTTTTCCTAACAGTTCCATAGCCTACCGAAGATAAGTACTGACGTCTCCGTACCGATCCGCGAGACTCTACTAAACCTGCTTGTGACTTATAACACCTATGAACCTAGAGCTCTGATACCAACTTATCACGATCCTAATTTTCCTCCGTAGGATGTGGTGATGGAACCCAGTCTCTAAGACTAGGTAAGCTCAACCATTATGCGGAATAACAGAATATAAAACTGGAACTCAAATCTCAACATATAACATAAATCAATCTGTGATTCAAAATAGTTACAACTCCCAAAACCCGATAGAATAAGTCACAAGCTTCTAAGGGAAATACTAAGTGTCTCTATACATCAGAGTTTAAGGGGAGCTCCTGAGGTACCGCCTCTTAGTCCCAAAAGTAAATATGCAACAAGGGAGCTCCCGAGGTACCGCCTCGTAGTTCGAAAAATAAATATGCAACAGGGGAGCTCCCCAGGTACTGCCTCGTAGTCCCAAAAGTAAATACCCAACTCGTAACCTATGGAACAATGAATTTACAGCAAGGAATCCTATAGTTAAAGACTGAATACAAATAAAGGAAACATGAATTTAACTAAGCATGTTGCACAGATTGCAAGTGAGGATTAAAACACGTAGACATGTGATATTAGGCTAAACATGATAACTACACATGCTAAGGTAACTCAATTAAGGAATTAAAAGAAGACTATTCAGCAAGAACTGGATTTTTCAACATATAACCCGAGTACGCACTCGTCACCTCGCGCATACGGCTTCCACATATTTCAAATACTATAACAGTACCAAAACCTAAGGGGAATTTTCCCCACACAAGGTTAGATAAGTCACTCAAATCAAGCTCAATCAGTCAATAAGAATGTCTTTCCCTCGATTTTCCGACTCCGAATGACCCAAATCTAACCAAAAGCAATTACATACTATAAGAAACTAATCTAAATATTAAAATCATGACATAAACAAGAAATTAAAAAATCGCCCCAAAAAGTCGACCTGTACCCACGTCTTGGAATCGGGTAAAAGTCACAACATACGAACACATATTCGATAACGAGTTCACCCATGCCAAAATTACTCAAATTCGACCTCAAATCGCCTTTCAATTCTCAAAAATTCGGACTAAGAACTTTCACCATTTCCCCCCAAATTTCACACCCCAAATCCTTAATTAAATAAAAAATTAATGATAGATTAGTGGATATTAATCAAAAATGAGTGTAGAATCCTTACCCAAATGTTTCCTCTAAAAATCTCTCAAATTTTCGCCTCAATCCGAGCTCTCTAAGTCCCAAAATGAAAATGAGATCAAACCCTCGATTTAGCCCTTTTTCTGCCCAGAGATTACGCACCTGTGAACCCACAGTCACATCTACGGCTCCACTCCTACAGAATTTCCATCGCAGGTGCGGTTCTCACTTGGTCCAGACATGCCCGCTTCTGCGGACCTGTCACGACCCGGATTTCCCACCCTCAGGAGTCGTAATAGCGCCTACTAGTGAGAGCTAGGCAAGCCAACCAACTGAATTATTTGACTTGTTTCCATTTTTAAATTCGTTAACAACTTAGAACAACTAATTAATAAACTACATAATTTAACAAGCTGAAGAATAA